TTCAACGCTAAATGTATTAACAAATTCCATTAATTTAGATTTCTGAATGTCATGGTGTACCGATTTGATAGAACTCATTTGGTGTGTCCGTCTTTTTTTATTTTTTGGCGGATCAGCTCTTCGTAATGCCCAAGTAAATATCAACAAAGAGGAAAAATAGACGTCATTTGAATAGGGGATGGATAGATATTTGCCATAATTGCCACAATTAGCATTGGCTGTGAGAAAGCAACCATCGCCATTTGACAAACTTTTCTATTTGAAAAACAAAAAAAAAATAGATTTTTACATCAAATGGGGTGCAAAAGAAAAGGGGAGAGTCCAAATGCACCGAAAGCTAAATGCAACAGGGGTTTTTCTCATTTGTATGTGTGTATACACGTGTGTGTGTGTGTTTGGCTTTGTGAATGCACAAAAATGTCCCAATTTATGGCCAATTATTTGACATTTTCATATGTGCAGCGAAATGATGCTAATGCTTTTGTTGCCGTTCTGATTTCTGCTGATCGCAGCCATAGAGCAAGGTTAAGTTTTATTTTGTGTACGGTGTACGGCATTAACGATTTCCTCCCTCTTAAATGGGAGGAACCCAACAACTAATTATGTATAATAGGGTACAACGAGCCCAACGGTTTGCAGAGCGTGAGTGTTTTTCAAATGAATGACGACAATGTTATCAAATGCCAAAGGTGTGCCGAATTATGTTGCCCATATAATGTTGTTTGATGGTTTGAAATTATTAAACAATTAATTTATATTTTCTCTGTTTCATTTTTTACTTTTTATTTATTAATGTCAAAGGAAGAGAATTCGTATTTTTAATTCTGAAAATTTTAGAGTTTTTAAACACAATTATTTAATATGTATTTTAACCAAAAACTTTTGAAATATGTTGTCAGAAATCGAGACAAAGACAATAATATTCCAAGTAGGCATCAATGTCTTACCTTAGGGAGAGACCCCATTATTTGCATGGAATTGCTTTTAGAAAATCAAAAGTCGATTCGTATCCGTCTGTTCGGCTAGATGTCGAAGGAAATACCCGGCTCGGCTTATGAAATGCACATCGAGATGTTCCCAAATTACACAGATTGATTGTCGTAAACTTTTCTTTTCGTTCAGGCGGAAAGTTGCACCTATATCGGATTTCTCTTGGCAGATCAGGAAGTCTTAACATTTATATTAAAATATTTATATACCTTCCACCATCCTATCCTCGACATACTCATATCAGACCCAACAAAGTGTATATATTCTTGATCAGCGTAAAATTCTAAGTCGATTTAGCCATGTCCGTCTGTCTATCCGCGTGTCTGTCTGTCTGTTGTAATCATGCTATCTTTCGAACGAATTGAGATAGAATGCTTAAATTTTCAATGCTAAATATTCTGCATTTTGATGATTTTAGCGACATTATTCATCGAATTGTTTTAAATTTGGTATTTGAAGTTCGCAAAGGAAACTACAGCATATGACAGAAAATTGTCTGTGCAGGTCCACGTCTTCGTATAGCACCGGTACGGTAACGGTACCTCTCAATATTCGGTATTTTGATGATTTTGGCGTCAATAATCAACAAAATTTAACAGTTTCAAATTACATATGGGAACTACAGTCTGTAACAGAAAATTGTCTATGCAGGTCCAGGTCATCGTATAGGCCCCATATATCAGTACCTCCCTATATTCGGTATTTTGACGATTTTAGGTACAATACATACCAAAATTGTTATATATGTCGTATTTGAAGTTCGCCTGTGACAGAAAATTGTCTATGCAGGTCCAGGTCTTCGTATAGTTCCGATATAACGGTACCTCCCTATATATGGTATTTTGATGATTTTAGCTACATTATTCACCGATTATTTCAAGTTTCGAATTTGAATATGGTAATTACGATAAACAATGCCTATGTAGGTCCACGTAACGGCTATATTCGGTATTTTTAAGATTTTAACAGAATTTTTAACCGATTTTATTTTTTGAAAATTGCCAAATTCGTTCCAAATGATGGATGGTATTCAAAGTTCGGTCCTTACAAAACTTGAAAAAAAAATAACGGTTGTTTTCAGTAATAATTTGCATCTCTTACAAATTTTTGGGGGACCAGACACACCTATATACCTGTTAGTTGTAACTATAGTTATCTTGATTTTCTAGGTTTTAAGCAATGAAATGCCTTGAAACCAAATATGTAGATATAAAAATTAAGTTTACTTTACAAGAGTAGATAACAAAATTCAATTAAGATGTATTAATTTGTATTGATTCGGCTCCGCTAATAACACATTAGTATTCAGTGAAATCAATAACATATGCATTTTTCGAAACCAAATTTCATATGGAGGTTGTAAAACGGTTTCGTTCGAATAAAAGCGGTGAATATAAGATTGATCGTCCCTTTCTATGGCAGCCAAAAAATTGAGATTTTTGATTTTTCATCCAGATAATTTAAATCTTGAACTAATTTTGTAATTGTATCAAATTATCACAAAATACATATGTTACCTGAAAAATGATACAAAATTGTGTCAGCATTTAAAAAAAATTTGTGCACTTATTCCACCCTAATATCTCAATACATATTTTCAAGTGTTCGCATTTATATACCCTTTCGTCGGCAAGTACGTGTAAGTGTCTGTGTGTGGGTATGCACATAAATTTATTCTAAATATGTTTTTTTCTGTTCATGATATAGAAATGACAACAAAATATAATTATTTATTTTCAGTCGGTCGGTCGGTCCTCGACATCTTTGTTATGCAAACAAATTTTGTGTAAATGCCGAAAGGTGATCAAGGCGACGATGCTTTCGTAATCGATGAAAATGTATTGAGATTTATGAAGACTAGCAACAATGAAAAGGAACAAAATATTAATATTCAATAAAAGTTGAAGTGAAAATAACGTCTTTTAACCTCTTTCGACAACAGACAAGTTTTATGATACTTCATTTTATGGAATAGGGTATTATCAATATGCTCTTTTGAAAATATTGGATATCAGGTCATATAAAATCAAATGTCTTTAAATCACATAAAAATGCCCATTAACCTTTTCACATATTCTATAAATGTCTAAGGACAGGTTTTGGGCTTTAGGAACCTGCAAGTGTAAAAACCTTACATCAACCGATTGTTCCCCTGTGATATCGAAAAATGTAAAACCAGTAAGTTCTTGCACGTTCTGGAACAGAGCTTTTATATTCTAGGTAATGTAATAAAAAAATACTTATCGATCAACTATATGAAAGGTATTAATTTTGAAGGTGTTATGTTTAGGAAAAAGGTTTTTGGTAAAATCTCGTTAGACAGGTAAATAATGGTTCTATCTGACGCGAAAATTATGCACTTTAAAATTCATTAAGAATCTGTTTTTAGTGTTGCCACATTCCCTGATTTCGTGAACTTTCAAAATTTCTTAAAGACTGAAAGATAATTATTTTCTGAGAAAAAGGACAAGTTTTGTTTAATTCATAGCCGATTAATAATGCAGTCTTCCAAGATTTGAATTATCATCTCTTTTAATACCATTAAATTAATTTTTTTTTAGAAAATGATTAATTTGCGGAGACTATAATATATAGTTGCAAAATAAGATATTTTTGACACAAGAGTTTCCAGGCCTCTATAAGTTTTTTATTGGTAGGGAGTTTTGCATATGGCGGTATCTCTACATGTCAAATATCGACTTAGTAATATAATAGGTTTCCGTTTTCCCTTCAAGAAACTCCATTCTGGAAACTACAACTATATCATCAGACGACAATTCAACTTTTTGTGTTGAGGCCACGTCTTAGTTTGAGCCATTAGCTTTATCTATTATTTGAATATTCTGAGTCTAAAAACTAATTACCATCTTTTCAGGTTAAAAGTTTTTCCTGATAAACAAAATGACTCTATACATAGGTTATTTTTAAACAAATAAAAAAAATATTTTTAGTAGAAAGCCAGGAGGTCTTTTCATTAAGGACTAAATCCAGCCATTTTTTTTGGGAAAAGTGCCAAGTCATCGTCGTAATCTTAAAATAAGAACTTTTTGGAAGACGAAGGTATAAAAAAATAAAGGGAATTTCCATGACTTCTCATGTTAATACCTGAGATATATATTTTTTTGTAATATTTTTTAAGGGATAATGGAAAGTTTTTTTGCCATCGCATAAATTTGACAGTCCAAGGGTTTGTGTTTAATACCTGACCAGTTTACAGATGCTGTGAGCCAATGGCGTAATAAAAAAGGATTTTGAAATTCTTTCAGGATGAGTTAATTAGCAAAGATTAATTTATCCATCTAACATGTGTAAAAAGATCGGAAAATTAAACATAGGACCTAGGGATGCCTCTGCATACGTTGCTGCAGTAAAACTTTTGGACATGTATGGGACTTTATCAAAACACAGGGAAATAATTTTTATAAAATATAATTCAATCTGTATAAATGCTTAGTTGACTAGACAGGTACAGAATTGGTTTGACTTCTAAGAAATACGGTTTCCTATAGAGATTTAAAACAACAGGTTAGCAGTGGAATATTTTATTCTCCAGATAAGAATTTGGATTCTGTTTTTTTCAATCTTGTTACCTACAATGATTATTGATGTTTTCAATGCTAATGGAGGCAGATTGTACTATAAAGGGATGAAGGAAATCCTTTCTTTAACAAAAAAAAAAACTTGTCAAAAAAATGTCAGTAAGTTTTTAACACGAACTGACTGATGAAATAAAAAATCTAATATATATCTGCAGGACATTGTTGTTTTTTACGTCCAGAAGATTTCTTATCTTAAACTCTTAGCTTAGTCTCTTACATTATGTGAAATTAAAAAAATTTCTTTAATCCATGAAAAATCCCTTTTCGACTTTTTATGGTACCCGAAAATTAATCCTTGGAATTCAAGGGGACTCCCACCTATTTGTTTTTTTTTTTTTTTTTCTTTTCAAAAGAAAAGTGTCATAACCTATTTTTTTTTTTTTGCAATTTATTTTCCGTAAGAAAACTTACCCCATGAGACTTTGTCTCTGCCCATAACGGTGCCCTTTTCGGTGTTATATAAAAATGTGCCCCAGTGAAAGGATTCCTTACGTCGTATTTGGAATTCCTGGTCAAGGCTTGCATGGTGGGGCTGGTGGTGCTGCATTGGTCGTGGCTTTGACATGTTGTGGCTTATTTGAAGTTAATTAAATAATATATTTTTTCCAGGACAATAAATGTCCTTTTTTTGTGATAATTACTTTTTTTGTTTAAGTTTAAATATTTGTAACTTTTTTCTTGTTTTCTTGCTGATTAGATCTTTAGAAAAATTAAAAATAAATAATATATCAACTATTATGTAATCGAATAATTTATTTTTCTTCTTCACAATAACACTTCAGCACCTCGTTTATTTTCTTTTTTATTTGCCAGACACTGTACTTTTCGTGAGAGCGGGAGTCGGTGTTTTTAAGTTTCTCTCTTTGTTTACAAAGACACCATTTAGGCTTAGCTTGATTCACCACCGCAAGAAGCAGATTAAAAACAAAATGAAACTAAATGCCCAAAATGAAACAACCAAACCAAACCAAAAAAAAATATTGAAACCGATTTCCGATATTACAAGAATTCTACGATCACTCGCGATCGCCCGTACATTTGCAACTACTCTTAGCCATAATTTTCTTTGAAAAAATTTCTACGGAAAAATGTATTGCTGTCATGGCCAAATGTAAAGAAGCCTGTGATTTCATTTCTTTTTGGGCATTTTGTTTATCTTTTTTTATCTCTTCTATGGCAATATTTTGGCCATACACAGAGTCAAGTCAATGTACTAAACAAATAAATAAATCTTGCAAATGTGGATCATCACGAAATGACGATAAAGGAGATGATGATGATGATGAGGATCATCATCATTTGCAGCAGCGTCGAGACAATCTTCATTAACCGCACATTATTTTATTTTATTTTTGGGGGGTTTAAAAACATTTAGAACACGCATAAAAGCGAATAGCGTCATTGGCAAATATTCATTTATCTGTTGGTGTAATTTCGATTTCTCAAAGGCCACATAAAGTCAAAATTTTTCAATTATTTCATTATGAAAAGTGCATTGTTATTTTAACGCCGTTTTAAAAGAAATTGTTAACAAAAAACACATTTTTTTCGTTTTGCTGAGACAGCCACACCTTGTTCAAAGAGAGTTTGATTAACAACTCTTCTGAGGTGAGATTGAGACAGACTCAAGTGTACCTCCAGCGAACAACGTGTATTGAACAGTAATTATTTGTTTGAACTAGTTTGGAAACTTTTCGGCCGATTCTTTTGATAAATATTTGCTTAATTTGTTATTATTTTTGAATTAAGAAATCTATGTTTACAAATCTATTCAATTCACAATGCTTTCTGAAACGAAGCCACTGCACAACACAACACAATTTGTTTTATTTTTTTGCTGACTCAACCAGGAGACGGTCTGTTTTTTCTTCTTCTTTTTTCGTTTTCGGACTGCTTAGTTAGCGCATTTCAAAACAAACACTCGTATCATACTGAAAACCAGTATCTAAGTTGCTGAGACATGGCTTGGATATCGGCCAAATAGTCTCAAAAACCGCCACCAATAAACCAGCAACGGCAATAGCAGCTATTTTCGAACCAACCGAAAACCACTCAAACAAGAAGAGTTAAAGAGCGGGAGAACCCCCAAAAAAATGTATCTGGTCTGTTGTGGTTGTTGGTTGGGTGCTCAGCTCGTAAACAAACCCGTCTGTCCAAGCGAAGCCATGATCGACAGTTTGGCATTTTAACAATGATGAGTTAATTGGATGCCAGAGAACCGGCAGAGAGAGAACAAGACTTCGATTGTAAACGAAATTCAACTCATTTTGGTTTCAGAAAATTGTTAAACAACTCAAAACAAGAAAATGTTCAAGCTTGAATCGATTAATACAAATGCCTTGCCGCCGCACCCTTTTGTTGTCACTTCTCATGGCTGAGGGCACACTCAACTCAACTCTCTTCTCTCGTCTAGCGTAGATATCTCCTATTTCTTTGTGTACACATTCATTCATCCACCATCCATAAGATACATTTGCAGTGCGTTTGTTGTTGTTGTTGTTTTTAACCACGTTGTTATAACACTTTCCATGTAAATTAAATTCTCAGCTAGTATTCCAGTTATATGACAGGGATGGGAATGTTAACAATGAAACGTATCGATTTACAAAATTCAAATACTAAAATTTCGTCAACGAAAATCGCATAATAGTTTTGTACTTTAAAACATAAACGAGTAAAAATGACGCAAAAATCGACTAGGTCTAATTTTTGAGAAAAAAATTGAGAAGAACTTAAATTATATCCAAGTCTGTGGGTTAAAATATATTTAAAATCAAAAGGGAAAAATCAATTGAATATTTTTATAAAAAATGAGGTATATTCTAAACACCTGGCATTTAGAGAAATATCATTACCCACTTATATTTTACACAAATTTCGTTATAAGTTTATGGTCCGAAAAAACAAGTGAAATCGGATATAATTAAGACATATGTAGGTCCAATGTTAAATCTTTTTGGTAGAGTGATTTTGTACCAGATAATCGCAAATAATACCAATTCTTTTGGGAATTGTGACTGAAACCTTCAAAATACTTTTAAATTCTGTTTCAAGAGGATAATACCAAACAGTGCAGTTTTATGGATTTTTTTTGCAGGAAGCCTATATATGAAATTTTTAAACCAGATTTGTGTGTAGCAAATTTAATTAGAAAGTTCATTTGAATCCTTCGATATATTTATTATCGGGAATTACCATTATAAAGGGACTATAACAAATATAGGACCTATTTGGAATAAGTAAAAAGCAGTAAGTTTAAATACCCTCCACAATTTGGAACAACATTTTCAAAAAAAAAAAATATATATAATAATAATAATAATAATAATAATAATAATAATAATAATAATAATAATAAATAAATATAATCCGTTAAAAATGCCAGTAAAATTTCAAAAATACCGAATATAGGCGTTATATTGGGATCTATACGAAGACGTGGACATACATAGGCAACTTTTGTCATAAGCCATATACAAATATTCAAATACGAAAAAATCTGGTAAATAATGTAGCTAAAATCATAGAATTGCTGTATATGGAGAAGTACAATTATATCGAGGCTATATGAAGACCTGGACCTGCATAGACAATTTTATGTCACAGAATCTAGTGCCTATTAGGGACTTCATCCACGAAATTTTAAAAAATGTCGATGAATATAGTACCTAAAATCGTCAAAATACCGAATATAGTGGGGGTTCTGATATATGTGGTCTATACGAAGACCTGGACCTGTACAGACAAATTTCTGTCACAGGATGTAGTACCTGTTAGCAACTTCAACTACGACATTTCAAACAATTTCGACGAAATTAGTACCTAAAATCGTCACAATATCGAATATCGGAGGAGTACCGTTGCATGTGGTCTATACGATATCATGCACCTACATGAACAATTCTCTTCCAGGGTGTAAAGTGCTTAGAGTGCTTGTGTAGAATTTAAGACAATTCCATTGTAAAATGTGGCTAAAATCATCAAAATACCGAATATCGGGAGGTACATTTATATGGTGGCTAAACGATATCGTGGACTTCTACAGACAATTCTCTTCCAGGGGGTAAAGTACTCAAAAGGAACTTCTTGTGTTTATTTTCAGATAATTTCATTGAAAAATGTGACTAAAATTATCAAAATATCGAATACAGGGGGTACCGTTGTATTGGGGCTATACGATATCGTGAACCTACATAAACAATTCTCTTTCAGGGTGTAAAGTACTCAGAAAGAACTCCTTATGTGGAATTTCAAACAATTCCGTTGGAAAATGAGGCTAAAATCATCAAAATACCGAATACAGGGGGTACCGTTGCATGGGGGCTATACGATATCGTGAATCTACATAAACAATTCTTCTTCCGGGGTGTAAAGTACTCAGAAAGAACTCCTTATGTGGAATTTCAAACAATTCCGTTGGAAAATGAGGCTAAAATCATCAAAATACCGAATATCGTGGACCGATATATCCATCTTCGAACATGACCTGCCTGCAAACAAGAGACTGATCTGTCCAAAATTTTAGCTTCCTATCTTCATTCATTTTGACTCTAGTCTGATAACAACAGACGCACGGACGGGCAGTGCTGAATCGGCTTAAAATTTTACGCTAACCAAGAATATATATACTTTGTTATGTCTAAAATTATTTTTTCGATGAGTTACAAACGGAATAACGAACTTAATATACCCTCCATACTATACATGGTGGAGCGTATAAAAAATGAGTCTACCTACTCATAGTTCAAAAATGTGGAATTGCATCTGATTCAATTGCAAATTGAAATTAAATCTGTATAGGACATTTCTTTCGAACAAAATGCCAAATAACAGCTGCTTCGGGTGGAAATTATAAATACTACCTTCAAAGTAATGCAAAAGGAGGTAGCGTATTTCGAGGCGTTGCAATGGAATTGTCATCAAATCAAATCAAAACTTTTGTGGATATGAAATTATAAGGCCCGGTTAGCATAGGTTCAGCTTACATTTGGCCCATTTACCAACATATATTAATCAATAAATAACTTCATTTTTCAGGGAACTTTTCCACCAACGGATGACAGCTAAAAATATCTTAAATCGGGATGTGTACAAAAGCCTGAATCGAAACCAGATCAAATCCAAACTGTAAGTAAAATTATAAATCGTATCTTGTAGCTTTGTTTCATAGTTCGCAATATATATCATAAATCAATATTATACAAATGTGAAATCTTAACGGCTAATTTATCTACTACAAGTTTATAGTAGTTCGAAGAAAAAACGCTAAAATGTCATTACTTTTTAAATTACTCAAATTATCTTCTTTCAACTAGTTCTAGTTTTTATGCCAATGCTGTATAACACATTTGCACTGGCAGATTAATGTAAACTACAAAATAAGGGTTGAAACAAAAAATCTCGGTTTCATTAACGGAACAGGTAGCTGAGGTATTTTCCCTCCAAATGCGACACAAAACATAGCTCACAGGTAACAAGAAACAAAAGGCAAAAAGGCGTTATGTATGTTTGCAAACAGTGTAGATATTTGCTTAGCAAACAACTACAGTAGCTGTTAAAAGTGTGTGTACAAAATGACTAAAAGTCAGTACCTGTAAAAGGGAACGGTGAGAAGACAAAAATTGAGTCGAATCAGGAGATGGGTAGGATCACATAAAATTATTCTTTTACGTTCTAAATTAGATTTCGAATTTAATGGCGATCATATTGTTGAAGAATATTTTAACCCCCTATACCAAGCTTTAAATATGAAAAAAAGGCCGGTATTTTCTACTATACATATGAGGCTATTAAGAAAAACCACGTAGAGACAAGGACAACAAAAATCTAGATTGAATTTTATCAATCTTTTAACTGTCCAATATCTCTAATGGAGTTAAGAAGTCCAGCCACTAATGAACTGATCATAGAGTGTTTTTTTTAAATCCCGTTTGCGAAGTCGAGCAATTTTACTGGAATTGGAGCCGGACTCAAAATATATGTTTTTTAGATAAACATTGTAATTATTTTAAATTCTCTCGCCGAGAAGGCGAATTTATTTTATTTTTGGTGTAATACCAATTAATATTCTAAAGTAACAAGTTAAAAAGTATCAGTCGGTTTTGCCGACAGATGTATACTCTCAGCTAATGTTCGATTATTTAAATATATTTTGATTTCTCTTATATTTATTTTAATTGTTGACCCTCTATGGAGTAGGTTACGAAGGAATGGACCAACATTGTTTCGTATCGGACCTAAATACATATTGCGACGTGCCACGTTTGGACTATATTGGTAACTTCCTTCACTTCCTGACATATGTGATCATTTTTAGAAAATGTTAAAATGTGCGGGATGTAGCAGATATAGTAGACCGAATTATTCCATTTTCATACTTCGTCTAATACAGATAAAAATATTGATATGGACAAAATTACAAGAAAATCGAACATTTATATCCAATTTTATGTGAAATCATAAATTCCACTTTTATCTCAAGAATCAAGTACAGAATCACAGCTTTCTTTCGCAAGTTAGGACAGATATAAATATTGAAAATTGTAATTTGTAAGCTGAGGCAGCAGAAAGAGTTCGCAGATCTTGTTCTAGGAGGAGTTTCCAGAAGGAGTGGACCGATATACCCCATCTTTACAGCAGGCCTTGGGTCGCTACAATATTGTGATGTGTGAAATATCAAAAGAATCGGATGATTATTTCGGATTTTATAATTGTTTTGCATATTCAAAACTTTGACCGTTTGTGGAGGAGGTATCAAAAGGAAAGGTGCGATCTCTACTATCGTTATAACAGATCTTGTATTGATGGAAATGTTGAGATAAGCCTAGTCTGAATATTAAAAATGTAAACCCTTTGCGGGGGAGATACCAGAAGGAGTGCACCGATATTTTCCATCTTCACACCTGACCTTGGGTTAATAAAATATTGTGATGTGTGTAACTTGAAGACAATTGGACTTTTACACCATATTTTATAAAAGTTATAATTATTCAAAATGTTGACCTTTTGTGGGGTAGGTACTTGATGGAGTGGACCAATTTTGTTCATTTTCGAACCTATCGTAGCACTAATGGAAATATTGGGATTTGCAGAGTTGAAGCAAAATCGCATAACCCCTTTTCTTTCTGTGCAGTAAAATATTTTATTTTTGGAAATGTCGATCTTTTGTGGGGAGGTACCAGAAGGATTGGACCGATATTGCCAATCTCCGAAATCGATCTAAGTTTGATATTAATATTGTGATGTACCAAGTTTGTAGGAAATCGGGTATTCCCTTTGAGAGTTTTCGAGTGCACCAGCCAGACAGACGGACGAACATCGCTAGATCGACTCTAAATGTCCTGAAACGGATTTGGTTCAAAGAGACTTAGGGTCTAAAACCGTAATTTCCATAAAGCAAGTTTTGGTCTTGTCAAATGATACATACCCCCTCCAGCAATATGGCTGAGGATATAATAAAATACAATATAGAAACTGATAAAATAATTAATACGTAGTGTGTGTTATTTTGTCGCCTTGTACACCGATATAACCCAAATTGTCCAATCCAGACTCAAAACTTCTCTTTCGACTCATTCTCGGTAGTCCCAAGTCTGACCCGTTAATTAGAAAGACTTCGGCTTAATTGACCTCCTGATCAGAGGCCTAAATCCGTTAGGCTCACATTTTTTCCTTCTGAGGATATATTTTGTGGCGAAATATGCATTTTACAAATCCTTAAATAACTGCAATTATATAATCATATCATAAAAATCGTGGACTCTGATACAATTCTTTACACCTTTAAGAACCTCGCATTGATAGCTTAAATCCCCATACATATACAATATTTACACACACTTTGATATCAATCACACAATTTTCAAATGCAGAGGTCACAGTGTCAGACATAATGGAAATCACACTCGAAATCTCAGCATAGAGGCAATTATCTAATTGATATCGTTCCACAAATCTAAATGTACACAGACATACACACACATATATACTCAAATAAAGCCAGGCTGACTGCTGTCAGGCTTTAGGAATCTTAATCTGTTGCAGCATCAGTCGGCGAACGGCAGAGCAAATAAAGATTGTAAATTTTTGTTGTCTTGGCGAACAAAGATGTGAGCGCTGATTTAAATTTGAATGGATGATCGGCGGAAATTCAAAGATTCTTTGAAGGAATTCTAAGTTTTTATATATAATATATTTTAATTTATATTTATTAATATTTAATTTAGTGTAGGGTTTATAAAATTACCCGTGATCCTTGATTTAAATATGGAGTATTTGTTCTTAGAATCTTTTCATATATTGTTGCCATGAAGTTTTTCATCTATCCTCTAAGGATTTTCTTTTAAGTTTTGTTTTTCTATCTCCTAAGCCCCGTATCCCTCTCTCACCATTATCCTTCCCTCTTTTCTCTTTCATCCAAAACTTACCCCAACTTTCAACAGTCCGACCGAAATACTGCTGGGTCTCGTCATCGTAGATCATTTGTTTCAGCGACTTCTTCTTTGGCCTCTCTGGTGGACGGGCATAGTAGTTCTGGAAGGCGTCAATGGACTCTTCGGCAACGGTCGGCATGACGAAATTCAGGAATAGATCCCTTACACGTGAACGATTGTGATGGCTAACCCGTTGAGGACGAAAATCCGTCAAACGTAAAAGGTTTCGGGGATTTATGACGCGTGTTTTAGATCCAACCGCACAATGAATTCGATTCGATGGTCAACGGTTATGTAATATTTAAACAGATTCTAAAATTTTAAATTAGCTTTTTCTTGATTTCGTTCGGTTGTTGTTTTTGTTGGCGGGTTTCTAGCTCAAGCGCCTTTAAGTAACTAATTTAAAGAATAGTTTTCTTTATTTAATCCGAGAGCTATCCGTCTTTTTGTGACCAGAGAAGAAACCGAGACCCGTGTGCTACTCAGGACTCCACACACAAACGAATGACCAACACTTCCCGATTTCGAATCTATGAATGCTGTTCGTTGTCGTTGCGCTTCTAATTCAAAATTTGTTGCTGCCGTTGCTGCGGGATTGGATTGGATCATTTGACGTTGTGGCTTGGTACAGAGTTGGGCAGTCGCTGTAACATAAAAGCACTTGCAGTGGTTGACGACGCAGCGCGCTAGCCCCAAAGCCGTGTTTAGGAGATTCGCACACACAAATCGGACATTCTTTTTTTTGTCATCTTTTTCTCTCTAAAGTTTAATAAATACATTTTGTATTAAACAAAAAAACTGACGAAAAAAAGATCTGCCCGCAGCCACAAGTACAATTTTGAATGTCCAGACCAGAGCTGAAGCTTCGTACCGCTGCCACTGATCTGCAACCATGCGTCGTTCTTAATCAAAGATAATTCCTGCCGTTTAAGCGACGGTGTGTGGTGATTGTTTAGATGGCGTCAACGCTCAAATATCGTTCAATTGTCGCAATGATATTTTGTGTTGCTGGCTGCTGCTGTGTATGTCTGTCTGTGTGTGTGTATGTGTGTCCATCCGTATGTCTGTTACTTTGTACTTCATGTGCCACAAGTGTAAATTTCTATTATCACACTATCACCATTATCACCGTTGTCCCTATAAAAAATTTCGGATGATACATGGACGGAGTCAGTGGTACCAATTTCGGTGCTTTAGGATATTTTTAGGCCTTCTTGCTTTGATAAAGACGAAGAAGCTTCACAGGGCTCAATTTGTTAATGTGGATAAATCTTTAAAAATAACAAGTAAATATGCACATAATTTCGGCCGGGCCAAATTTTAATATCCTCCAACATTTGGAAGGAACTTGCAGATTGTAAAAAGATTCCGTAAAAAAGAAAGAAAATAAAAGCTATAATTAAAAAAAATCGATGCCATGTATTGCATTTATATGAGGCTATAGAGAAACGACGATCTCTATAATCAATAATCCGGAAACCAAGTTTGAGATAATTCTGTGGAAAAATTTAGCTAAACAAAGCAAAATACCCAATAATGGTACCATAACATGGGGTCTATGCAATTTTCTGTCATAGGAACTCCAAATTTAAAATAATAATTCTGGTGAAAAGTGCAGGTAAAATCAACAAAATACCGAATATTGAGAGGTACCATTATATGGGTGTGTACGGAAATGTGTGAACTGTATAAGCA